AGAAATTCTTATTGAAAATCAATATAGGAATAGGTTTAGCTCATAGTTTTGCTTCTTAAAATGTTATAAAATTCTGCATATGTTTTTTTCTAAATGGTAGTTGTTTATTGTCTTTAATTAATTTTTTTAAGGTCAAATTACTGTGGTTATCATTATTAAAAGCCTTCATTAATCAATAATGAAATTCAATTAGATTGAACAAAAAAATTTAATGCTATACCAAAATTTATGTGGTTCAAAGCATGACCAAACCAATTTAAAGTAGTTCCATCCAAGTCCTAAATGGATTGGAATTTTTTGTCAAATGAAATTTGTAATTAAGCAATTATTAAAGAAATCAAACAAAAATTAAATAAATAATAAATTAATAAATTATACTATAATCATTCATTATTTTCATAATTAATGAATTTAATAAAATAATCAATAATTTTTCAATATTGATAATAATTATGAATTTTTTTTGTAAAATTTTAAAAATTTAATGAATGATTATGAAAATAACGAATGATTATAGTATAATTTATTAATTTATTATTTATTTAATTTTTGTTTGATTTCTTTAATAATTATGAATTTTTTTTGTAAAATTTTAAAAATTTAATATTCACGAGAAAAACGACGTTAAGAAAAATAAAATGTGTAATTTTTTTTATTTAATTAGAATATTAGAATGAAAATATTATAAACAAGTATTATTTTTTTAAAAAAATATATATTTTTTTTAATTTTTTATTTAACTTTAAATTTTCCAAAAATACTTTGGGTGTAAAGTATTTTACAAATGCTAGTGTTTTTTTTTTTTATGTATATATTTCAGGATAAAATAGATATTAATATTAAAGAAAATATTAATAGTTGAATTTAGTCTAATCGTGTTTTTTATAATTCGAATAATATTTTAGACAGAAACAGGGTTCTTCCCTTCACCCTAGGGCCTAGATCATAACTCTCTTGCAGATCCTCAACCATTCCGATCCCTCTCCCGCCATGGATTCCTCCTCCGATTCTTCCAACACACAGTGAGTCTCTTACTTGTAAATCTCTATTTTCTCACTACCCAATTACGTTAATTTTTCCTGATTTTCTTGTTTTTTTTTTTTTCAATGGATTTTCATGGATTAGTACTGATAGTTTGCCTGTAAACAATTTCAGTGAGACTGTTCTAAAGAGACAAAATAGAGGACCTCCTTTCAAATTCATGGTGCCTCTTATATATGCCCCTATTCTCCCTCTAAGTAAAATTTATTTTCATCTATCTACTTTCGGTTCTGTTACGCTTTCTTGTTTGTACTTTGTTCTTCGTCTCTTTGAAGTGTGCGAAAGGAATTTTTCTACCTGGCCCTTATATTTGTTGATTCTAATTTGATCTGGGTAACTTATCTGTTTTCAAGTTCGACTTTCACTGAGGAAGAATCCAGTTCTAAGGGACCGTTTATTTACTCTGGTTTTGGCTGGGGGTTTTGCTCATGGCTTCTATTTGGTGTATCCTTTACACAATTCTTCTCTGTTACAAATTGATTCCTTATTTTCTTATTTGTTTAAATCAATTGATTATGTGAATAGCTGATTAACTAATAGGAATAATGGTTGTGCTGTTGCATATGCTTCTATTATGCTTTGTTTGGTTTGTGGGAATTGTAGATGCTCATTCCACTTCTGAGATATGAACTTAGCATCCTCTATTCTGCTTAATATTCCGTGTTTATTTTTTCTGAACAGAAATCCCTGTTCATCTTTATTCCTTCTCACTGGCCTTCCATGGAAATTGACTTCAGTTGTTGCAACTTGCAGTTTCTTGTCAGGAACTTGCATATACACGTAGCTTATATTAGATGAGTCAGTTGATGAAAGAGGATATTTTTGTGGTAATCTTCATGGACTAAAAGATGCACCTAATATGTAATTTACACTCACCCCTTTTAATTCTTTACATCTTAAACTGCTGTCTTAATGCTCTTAATTGGGCATTAGATGGTAAGTTTTAGCGAACTCACATAAGGTTAAAGCCTTAATGTCGGACTAGTTGGTGCTAGCTACAGATTATACATCTGCGAAAATGTGTATATATTTTAATAACAGTAGGTCTTCAACTACTTTCTCTTATTTAGATGGAACATAAATTTCCCTAAAGAAATTACCTTGTGAGCATCTTTTTAACTAGCATGTCCATCTCTCTTCATATTGTTCTAATATGTTAATTGTTTTATGTCAGATTTTGGCTATTAGTTTTCTGAAAAGGGAAACACCACCGTGCCTCCCGATGATGCTTAAGTCAGTTCTATGTCTAATTTAAGTTATTTACTTTTATGATTACCTGATTACAAATTTCTAGTTGTGGAATTGAAAATATGAGGAGCCTTTATTCAACTATGCATAAATATGTAAATTATGACCAATTTTTATATATTAGGCAACTAAGATCTAAAAATAAAATCAGAATAGAATAGGTTTGAATCAAATGCAAACGTCGGAAATATCAGGGTAAAGATAAATTTTTGTTTTGTTTTTTATGCCTGTGATTTTTCTTTTCAATCTGAAGGTTAAAATTTTTGGAGGCATTATGTCTCTGGAGCATGGTAGTACTACCTTCTTGAAAGGGGTTTGATTTTTTTTTTCCCAGAGTGATGCACAAGCAAAAGTTTGTGACAATGTCTGCAAATTGAGATGTTGGTTACGAATAGTGTTCTACTCGAGTTCTTGGTTATATGTCTTGCTCTCTCTCTGATCAGATATCTGAAACTTCATATTGCATGATGACACTTCTGACTGTGCTAAAAATTTTACTTCCATTTTGTGTTGAATTGTTCACTTAATATGTGAAATGCATGCTGAAGGTCTATTTCATAATACTCTGCATTTGAAGTTTATTTCAATTATAAATATTGGCAAAATGTCAAGAATTAAGATGATTATATCAGCCCTAAATGTTGGAGGGAGCTCTTCAGCAACTCAGCATGCAAGGACTGATAACAAATTTCTGTAATATTATGATTCTATAAATTGTATATGTACCAAAATATTTCTATCTCTTCCTGAATCAATACATGGATATCTATATCTATATTTTGCAGTTGTTGAAAATATAGAGTTTGTCTAATATCATTCAAGTCTCAGATATCATATACTGGCTCACCATCATAATAAGTATCTTCCTCAGAATATGAAAATGTGCATGCTAAATAAACTGTACTTTTATTGTCAACAGTTTTCTTGTGTGTATTGTCGCCTTGAAATGTATTTCGTGAATTTCTCAATGCTCTTTCAGTCTTGGGTGCTTTTCCTTAATGGATATTCAGAACAGATTTGTATGATAGTGAGAGCAAATGAATGAGAGCAAGAATGGCTGAGAAATCTCTTTCTCTCGTTTACAACTTTATTTATATGCGGATCTTATATGCAGTCAGAGGTTCAAGCATCACCTTGGATGACCGAGGACATTGTGGGATGGAGACAACATTCTTCTCATTCTTTTTGTTGTAGAATAGAAACGATATCTGCGTTTTGCCACCACATTTTGGGGGCTCAAGATTTAAGAACTTCCATTTTTTCTTTAGTAAGATAAGGACTTTCACTTTCAGTTTTAACAGGATAAGTGCCAAAATGAGTCATTGATCCCGGGTTATTGATCTGCAGTATAAGTTATAACTTATGGGCATCTCATGTTTTGGATTTTGACCTGGAATGGCAAAAAATTTTGATGTAAAAAATGGTGCATATACCTTAGTAAAATAGTATTTCTGTTGCTAATATCATCCATCTATCACCTTAGAAGGGATCATGGGTTGCCACACCATAGTTGGTGGGGCTGAAACGAACTGTTGTTGGCGCAGCTATAAGGGGACTACCTGCAGCAGAAAGTCGAGGACTTTCGATGTTGTTTACGATAGGTATGGCATGCATGGATCTCATCGCTTTCATGTTGTTGTCTAAATACCAATGTTTCATTTCATCTTCGTGTCACTAAATTCTTGAGTGTTTTATCACCAGCCAACTAATTGGGCATGCTCCATCTTCTTGTGGTATTTCAAGGCTGATGTGAAATTTTGGATTAACCAAAGAATGATCATAGTTCTGTTGTTAAAGTAATGTTTGATTCAATGATTATCCTACTTGCCAAGTTCGAATCAAACCACTTCATTTTTCAAGTTAAGTTTGGAAGAAATTTATAGAATTTACTTGCAATCTATTAATCGGATTGAGACGATAAAAAATTGACTTCATGCAGGTGGAATTGAAACATTATATTTCAAAATGTATTCCAATTTTTATGGAATTTGAAATACACTATCCTAATTTAGTATGAAATACTATAGTTTTATAATTTTTCAGTTGAACTTCAGAAAATTTATTTGTAAATCAATACTTAATAAAATTAGAATATGGAATTTATTGTTTGGAATTTTTTAAATTAAACTTTTTATATAATTTTTTAAACTAAATTATACTAATTTTTTTCGTTGGAAATTTAGATTTTTGTAATTTTATATTAAATTATTAAATATTTGTCACTACCTAGGAATTCTTTATTAAATTTAATTTTAAGAACTTTAATATCTCCATATTTAAAAATTCATACTAATTAAAATGTAAAACAAAGACAGAGTCTTAGTTGAGGTAAAGTTGTAACTGTTAGATATCATTTTTTCTCTTTTTGTCACAAGCTCTAGATGTGTATTACTTGGTGGAGTGCTTACAACAAATAAAAGTTTCAATTGACAAAAATTTATTGATATGATAAGAAATCTTTGGAAACTACATAAGAAAGGATAGAGACAAAAATTTAGTCAAAAAATACGTTTTTGCTCCAATTTGAGAATGAATGATATATGCACAAAGCTTTTTGTTTAGTGCTTAGGGATAAGGGAGAACACTCAGAATAGAAAAATGACATTATCTCATCTTTTTACTCCATACTAACAACATATTTGTGAGATACAAAATTTTCAAGAATCGGGTTACATAATTTTATAGTAAACTAATATTTATTAATGACAATAGCATAAATGAACCTCGCCTATAAACAAAGTAGTTAATGTTGAGTATTGATACCTCAATTAGATAAGATGGATGAACTGGTCTGGGTATAAGTGGGGATGTTGTATTTATACCTATACATACGATGCCTTCACCAAAATTCATTAACATTACATCACTTCTAGCTTTCTTTTTTTAGTATGGAGATTGTGCAACAAACGATAGTTGTTGAAAGCAATTCTCAAGTTATTTACAAGCGTCTTCTTATATATATATATATATTTTTTTTTTTTTGAGTTCTGAATTTGATTTGTTCTTTAAATATATCAATTTTTTAAAACAACTTTTTGTTTTTCTTTTTTCATGTTTTTTGAATTCTTAAATATTATAAATTCTCTTTAATTTGAACGATTATTTGGTGGCTTATAATTTACTACTACGTTTGCTGCATCATATTTTTTCACACACTTGATCTTTTTAAGTTAAGTGTTGTTTTTACACTTTCATAAAGTTAAAGATTATAGATTAAATTATTATCTAATATAAAAATAATATTATTGATCATGTTGTATTAAAAAATATATATATACATATAAATATCCATTCAATCCAATCATCATCATCCATCTTATCCCATTGATGTTTATATTTATCCACTTTATATAATATATATAATGACAAACATAAATTAAAAACTCTAAAAATATCAACATTCACCGAAAATTAGAGTTACATATTATTCTACGCGTGTTAATAACTCTATTTTAATCTAGACATTTAAATTACAAATTCCAACACTATATATTATGATTCAATATTTCATTTGATGTTTACATAAGCTGATTCATGTATGATTATTACTTACTGAATTTAGAAAATTAAACAAGATTTACAAATCAAGTTAATTTTTAGAAAATTAATTAATTAAGTATATTCCGAATAAATAAAATATGAATATCCACACCGAGGGAAGCATATTCGTTCGGAGATACTCTTCTCTAATCTGTCTACGCGTGAGTAACTGAAAGATCCCCGAACCTAAAACGATACCGTTTCACTTGCAATTATCCGCTACTCCAATGGCCAAGTGTAATTCTATCAATCTTGACATATGATCAGAAATCATTCAAAATTTCGTGGGACCCGTATTCACTATAATCATAAAGAGAACCATCAGATTTAAATCCAACGGTTATCTGCTAATCTGTTTTATGTTTAATAAACTAATATTTAGAGATGAAAACTGAAGATAATTAGGAGTATTAATATAAAATAATAATACATAATTATATCAACAAACTACATTCTTAATCAAAATTATATTTTTAATTACAAAGGAGGGTTTTATCATCATCACCTTCACAATTCATTGACATTGCGTAACGTAACCCTGTAAACAAACCACTTCACGTCCCTAAAAAGTGGACTCAGATCAGACAGCTTTATATTTCATTATCAGGAAAAAAAAACAAAAAAGAAAAAAAGAAAAGTTCATTTCGAAAACGGCAGCCTAACGATCGTCAGAGGTTTGCAGATCGGATCGTTTTTTGAAATCGGAAGCGAGTCTGGAGGCGATCGCCGAGTGATACATAACGTCGTGAAATGACGAGGAGCCTCTGGTCAACATACGGAGCTGCTTCGCCTTTTCCTCTGTGAAGCAACCGGGGGCGAACCGAGATCTCAGAGGTTTAGACTCGGGATCCGACTCCGATCCGCTCTCCTTTTTGTGCTCGCTCGGATCCGATTCAATGTAGTCGGGCTCGGACGCCCAGCCGAAGAGCGGTGACCACCAGTTCGGGGAAGAGGAGGTTTTTCGGCGATTGGCGTCTGGCTTCGGAGGAAAAGGAACGGCACAGGACTGGATCCCGGCGGCTCTGAATGTAACTAGATTGGCGGCCATCTGTAGTGTGGTTGAGAGAGAGAAAGCTCGAGCTTCTGTAAAAGATAAAAAGGGGGAGAGAGAAATGGAGGGGAAGAAGAACAGGAACGCAGTACAGGCGTGGTCATAAAAAGGGCGAAAGGGTGGAGTGGGCAACGGATAAGATTACACACGTGGCAGTGGAAACAGGAGATCATTAGTGGTTCTTTTAATAGTTTAAAACCGGCTATTCCGGTCAGTAAGGTAGCCTTTTAAGGGTTTGGTCGTTTCATCTTTGTCTTAATTAGTGTAGGGATGAGTCGGATAGAACGCGGCAGTGGGGCCCAGATTTTCCACTTTGACCAAACTATCCTCATGCAATATTTTGTTTTCATTTTAAAATAATAATTTAAAATATTAATAATAAAATTAATATTTTAAATTCTTTTATTTAATCGTTCAAAAAATAAAATTAATAATAATAATTATCAGTCTTGGTCGTCGTTACAAGACGAGCACGTGATTGTATTGATTAACTAAAGGACACGTGGCGGAGGTTTCCTTTCACTTTCCTACGAGTCCTTTTTTAAATTTATTTCTACTATACATTAAATTATAAAAAAATAATAATTATAAGTATCTTCAATGATAATTATTTTAAAATAAAATAATTTAAATGTAAAATAAATTTATTATTATTTTTTTAATTTATCTAAATCCATTAATATATTATTAAATTAATATTTAATATGCTAATCCAACAGAGAAACATGTAAATATTTCAATTGGATATTTAGTAAGAAAATGCAAATTTTATTGATTTGATAACAACAAATATTAACCCATTAGTAAGCATATTATTAAATCTTAGGAAATGTGGTATTTACAAATTTATTCTTTATACTTCTCGATTTGAATATATATATATATATATATATATATTATTAAAATACAATTTCAATATCAGTTTTGAATTCACCAAATTTTATTTTATAGAACAAATGGTGAATCACAGAAAAAAATTATTAATTGCAATAGGTACATCCTTGAAGTATCTATATTCAAATAACATTATTAACTTAGATCTAAATATGAGAATTTACTCTTAAATAAGAGAAATTCTTTGCGACTCAGAAGTCCCTCTCGTACTGACATCGACTTATCTATTTTATTTAAGTATAAATAATTTGATATCACCGATCTGATTTAAAATAACAAAAATTTAAAATTTAATTAAAAATTATTAAGAATCTTAAATTTAAATAAATTTAAAAAATAACTAAAATAAATGTATAACAAACGAAGATATCATAACCATTCAAAATTAGAATCCAAATCAATAGGATTTCTATACCTTGCATCGCAGAGATCCCTCGTATTTAAGAACAAATTCTCTAGATTTTAAATCGAAATGGACAATATTATTTTAATGTAGATACTCCATCAGAAACTCTGTTAACATTTTTAATATGTTTTTACAACAAGTTATTTGGTGTCAAATAAATTTGGGATATCATGGTATCTAAATTTCTCAATAGTCTTATATACAACTCATCAACTAACCCACTAGAAGGGAAACATATAAACATTTCAATTGGATATTTAGTAAGAAAATGCAAATTTCAATTGGTATATAAATTTTTTTCATTTTCTCCTCTTGTTGGAGGATAGAAAATAACATGTTCAAATTAGAAAAAGACTTCCTTGCCAAGATTTGGGACGTTAGATTACTATATGACTTATTAAGTCCCATTAAAAACCTCATTGTGTGATCCCTCTCTTAGTACCCAATAATTGGTTTAAGTCCTCTACATGTGCAAATGAGAATGGGTTCATAATTTACGAGTTCATCAATAAAATGAATGGGTTCTTATTAAGCCTGTATTGGCTCTTGATTTTGTATAAGTGCAGATATTGACTGTTTAATTTGCTACACCCTAGTTGCTTTTTATTCAAAATGTTTTTGTTCTAATTCATGTCATAGTTGATGTGTTGTTTGAGCATAAAATAGGTCGATCTTAGTATCTGGTGAGAGTACATATTGTATCCAAATAATTACCAGATTTACCCAGAATGATTTCAACATGCGTTAGAGGCGTTTGATATAGCTCCTTAAGAACTACGATTTTAAGATCTTATATCACCCAAAAAAGAGTAATGTGTTAGCTGACGCGCTCAGCAGGAAAAAGTGCAGATATATTGACTTACATAATAGTTTTTGAATACAAGGTAATAAAGGCTGCAGAACATATACAACTTTGAAATTTAAAAATGGTCACATGTCTAGCCTTTCTAACTGTTCAACCCGAACTGATTCAAAGAATAAAAGAAACCTAACTGATTGACTCCACTCTAGCAACTCTCAAAAAGGATACAAAACAGGACGTAAATCCAAAATTTCGAATCTCTGCTTATGAGTTGCTTAGATTCCAAGACACAGTGTGTGTTCCAAATAATAGTGAACTAAAAAGAGATATTATAACAGAGGCTCACAGTTAAAAGTTCACTATGCATCCTGAAAACATTAAGATGTATCAAAGCATGCAACCCCAATTTTAGTAGAGTAGAATGAAAAGAAAAATTATTGATATTGTCTCTAAGATGCTATTTTTAGCAATGGATACATCATCGGGAGTGTAATATCTATATGAGAATAACATAGTCTATCGTGAATTAAAATCTAATAACTTACTTTTGAATATGAAGAATCCTCTACCACCCATGTGCAAGGTATAAGAATCCTATTGCTTTTGATTTTAACTCTAAATTGTTCAAGTTTGTTTTGGTTATGGTATCTTTATTTGATATACATTATTTTTAGTTAATTTTTAAATTTTTATAAATTTAACATTTTCAATAGTTTTTTTACTAAATCTTGAAGTTTTACCATTTTAAACCAAATTGGCGAGCTAGGTTTTATTAATAATTAAAAAAAAAAAGGAATTGTTGATGGTATGTGAAGAACTCTATCCCGGTAAGAGAAGCTTGATGGAAGTCTATTACACTTGCTTATGAAATCACAATCTGTGAATCGCTTATTAATTTCCTATAGGTTGACATCTACTCGTTTGGAGTAGTCATATGAGAGCTCTTAACAGGGGAGGTATTGTCTGCAAAAATGCAACCAAATGACATAATAGGTAAAATCATATTTTACCTAAAGGAGCATTAAATGTTGTCATTAGTCCCTTTTTTTCACTCGTGGTAACCAACCATTTGAATTTGGCATTTTAAGATACTTGATGGAAGTTTATAACACTTGTTGCAACATCTTTTTGTTTAGTTATTTTGTGTGCTTTTACTATATTTATTATCTGTCATGTTCCTTCATTATAAATCAATCATTCCCTTTTGTGAGCAACTTGTCTTTATCTCTAATTCTTGTGTTCTCATTCTTTAATTGTTATATCTGCGAAAATTATTTTTTTTTCTTGAACAGAGAAAAACTCGATATAACTGAATCAAGCATTGATATTTTTGTATTTCTGTTTGGCATCTCACTCTTCTGGATCCTAAGATTTCCATGAAAAGTGATTTTATTGAAGCATCTTGGAGTTTCTTATCATCTTTAATTGTTTCCTTTGTTATAGCAAGCATAACCTCTTTGTTAATCAAACAGCTTGTTCCTTGTATAACTGTTGATTGATACAAATAAAAGTTTTATCCAAATTTCTAGATGATTGCAATTGGTGTAGCTAATGGGACTTTACGACCTGAAATTCCAAGTTGGTGCGAGCTAGGTTGGAGATCATTGATGGAGAAGTGTTGGTCAACTAAGCCTGACTC